GGCCAGGGAGCTGCAGTCCTCCCCCCGAGCTGCTCCGGGCCACGGCTGGGGGTGTGCGCAGCCCCTCTGTTTCGGGACTTACTGCTGAATCCGGGCCCTTAAGGGATAAACTGAGGGCCGTGGGTACGATAGCTGCGCTCAAGGGCATCCGCGGAGATGTGCTGTACGAGGAAGCGGCCGTGGCAGCAGTGCAGGAAATAAAAGCTAACTGAACCCCTGATTCGAGCATTTCCAGAAAGGAAGAGCTCGATTGGACAAATATATATTCATTATAAAATTATATGGGTGTGTGAGTGTGTGATTAACGTCTCAGTCACGGAGGGGAAAAAAAGTCAAAGGACAAGGAAGTTAAAGAAATTCAAGAAAAATCTTGTCAGGAAAGCGGAAAGGGAAGGGAAAAGGACAAGATTAAATCTCCCAACCCCTACCTCCACCCCAAACACACAAAGGTGTATTTTGCAAAACTAAGTGTCTGCCCCATATGTCGTTGCTCCATGCACATGAATAGCAAACCGAAGGACTTTGGGGAGAAGCGGGTCTCTCCTGTGGTACTCTAGTGTCTCTATCGAAGCAATCCAGGAGGGAACTTCACGACGTGCATTGGGGCCAAGAAGAGACATGGTGATAAAGAATATCTGAAGTGTCCTCAGTTTGTGGAAGGAAATAATCGAATAGACTTTGTCGGGTTACTTAACAACTAATCACATAAGCACCTACAACTGGTTCCTTAATCTGAGAAATCAGTAAAAGAACAGGTTTCGTGTGATTTGATATTTCCCCGCAGGGTTCCTTTCCCTCCCGCCTTCCCCACCCCACCCCGTTTCCCGTCCTGCCTAGTTTTCCCACGTCCAAGTGTCGCTGCTCTGCGAGTAAATATGCAAAGAGGGTAAAAAAATCTAAGCCGCGCCTTGCCAGCCCTTGCTGGAAAATTGCCACAAAACCGTTGCAGCCTGAAGCCCCGCTCCCGGCCCCGTCTCCCTCTGCCCCCACGGCGATGCTGCCTTGTAGCCCCTGACCCTCTCTGAGGCTCCCAACGAGCAACCTAAACCGCTGGAGCCGCCGGCTCCAGGCCCGCTGGTGGCACCGGGGTGGGGGGGATGTTACACGGCATGACGGCCGCAAGGCTCCAGCTGTGAGGGGGCAGGAGGCACCGCCTCCCCCCGGGGAAGGAGATAGGTAAGGCCGCACGGTGGCGTTTCTTTTTGCCCGAGAGAAGTCAAGCTTGATTTCCTAGGTTTGTCTATCGCTCCATCCCCCGTTGTGGGCGGTGAGACGGTGACTAAGAGCGGATCTGCCGCATTCCCGAGAGCAGCAGTCACCTCTCCAGCCCTCCGCTGTCACCGGAGATCACTCGATGCCTGATCCGCGGCGCTGTGATTCAGGGCACAGTCCCGGCTACCGAAATCTGGCATTTATGTCGAGAACTAAATTTAGGAAGCTTTCACGCTAAGGACTCTCGCTTTGGCTTGTGGTCCAGGTGTCACAACATCTTTGTGTTTAATCGCTTTCACTATTTGCCCTCGAAAGGTCCCCCTTTCTTCAGAGCCTAATAGGAGTAACATCCCGGGAAGGAAATCAGACTGGCCTATGACACGGAGGCAGTTTTCTTCGAGCATCTCTTTATTGTTGCAGAGAAGGCAGGGCGTGCCGTGAGCGCGCAGGGAAGGAAAAATAAACGATGGTTTCACGGTGAAAATTCTGCACCCCCTCCC